TTTGGTCCCCACTTCACCTAGTTTGAGATCAGGTACCCTTACTGATGAAGTGTGCCCCCCCCCACCCCCACCTGCCGCCACCGCCCTCCCCTGGCAATTTCCCATTACTGCCAGTCCTGGAGGAGTTTATTTTAAAACTAAGATATCCTAAACTAAATAATGAAATAGTACATTGTCAACATTTTTTTTTTTTGCTCAAAACCATTTTTATTGTAAATTTGCAAGAACTACCTTACAATTCCAAGGCAAATAGAGACATCATAATCCTGACTCAGTCAGCTGGGCTAAGGTTTCTCAGGAAATCTAAAGCTAAAGAAAATGTAATGTTCTGCTTTGTTCTTCCTTCTTCTTTCAACCTTGCCATTACGGATGAGATTTCCTCCTGGTCTGGTATCTCAGTAATGCATTCTGTAGATGGAAGTGGAAGTTTTGCCTCTTCATCTGATCACTTACTCTGAAAATTCTACATTATGGCATCCCAAGTAGTTATGGTCTTTTCTCCCTCCTTCCCTACCTTCACTGCCATTTTGCTCCTGTGTTCTTTCCTTATCAGTCACTAGAAAGAAAAGGAAAGATGGGACTCGGCTAAGTAAGGATTGAGTCCCAGGACCCAGCTATCACTGGCACCATGGGGAGGGATATGTGTCCTCAGAAAGGGATTTGATCGTACTTTGTTTTAAACCTCTTGCTATAATATTCTAGGTCCACTTTAACAATTTGATGATGTCAAATACAAAAGTTTAGTGAAGAGGCTAAAACTTGAGCTTCAAGGCTATGCAGACCCATGTCTGAATACTTGGTAAAATTTTTTGGCTTTGTGGTTTTGAGCAACATGTTTAAGCTCTCCTGGCTTCAGTCTTCTCATAAAACTGTAGGCAGGCCAGGAACGACAGCTCATGCCTATAATCCACTTTGGGAGGTCAAGGCAGGAGGATTATTTGAGCCCAAGAAGTTTGAGACCAGACTTGGCAACATAGTAAGACCCCATCTCTATTTTTTAAAAAGTTAAAAATTAGCCAGACATGGCTATTTGGGAGGCTGAGTTGGGAGGCTATAGTGAACTATGATCATGCCACTGCACTCCAACCTGGGCAACAGAGTGAGTCCCTGTCTTCTAAAAATAAAAAACAAGAAAAAAAAACTGTGAATACTAATAGCAGTCTTATTGGGTTATAGTCAAGATCAAGCGATAATGTATATAAAAAGCCTGCCTTACTAGGTAGCAAATGTTTCCTATTGGTAATGAAAATTATAAATGAAAACAATCAACGTCAAAACAACAAGGGAAACTTGGTAAAATTCACTAGGAACCATGTCTGATCACCTTTGGCACAAAACCCAGAGAGGGACCTCCTTAAGAAGGCCAGAAACACCTCAAGGGAAGCCTCCCGTGATAGAATGGCATTCCAATAGGGCTGCCTGAAGAAGCAGGACTCTAATTTGGCCATTGAAACACTTCTCAACATTGAAATAGACAGCTGGCAGTTTTAAAACAAACTCTTTTAAAAGACAGTTCTAAGTGAGTAAGAGGATATTTACTTAGATAATATGACTGTGTTGGTGAAACTGGTACCCATTCACTTGCAAATGTCATAATTGAGAAGGTACTCTTAGCTCATTTAATATTACCTAAAAGATGCTAACAGAATTCTGTTTCCAGAGTTATCACAGCATGCCCTTCACTCTCAGGATCCAGGCAAAAGTTGAAATTCAGAAGCATAGATTCAAAGCCTAGCAGAGAAATACATTTCTCTAAGATACAAAAAAGTACTTCTGAAAAGATTCTCTCTGACCACATTTATCGCAAAGCCCTCAAAACATTCCAAGTCCTACTTAAGACGGGTATATTTATTTTTTTGGTTTGGTTTGTTGTTGTTGTTGTTGTTGTTGTTGTTTGAGTCTAAGTCTCACTCTGTCACCCTGGCTGGAATACACCCAGTCACAACCATGGCTACTGCAGCCTCGACCTGCTGGACTCAGGTGATCCTTCCACCTTAGCCTCCCGAGTAGCTGGGATTATGCGTGCATCACCGTACCTGGCTAAATTTTTTTTATTTTAGACTCAGGGGGTACACATGAGTACTTGTTACGTGGACATATTGTGTAGTGGTGGGGATCGGGTCTCAGGTGGCCCATTCTCTAGATAGCGAACATTGTACCATGTAGGTAATTTATGAATCTTAGTCCCCCTCCCTGCTTACTAATCTCTCTAATGTCTGTAATTTCCATTCTTGTGATCATTTAGCTCCCACATGTGAGTGAGGACATGCAATGTACGATTTTTCTGTTTCTGAGTCAGTTTGCTTAGGATGATGATCTCCAGCTCCATCCACATTGCTACGAAGGACATGATTTCATTCCTTACTATGGCTGTGTAGCATTCCATGGTGAATATATGCCACATTTTCATTATCCACTGACCAATCGATGGGCATTTAGGTTGATTCCTCATCTTGGCGATTGTGAATTATGCTATGGTGAACATATGGGTAAAGTTGTCTTTTTTATATAGCAACCTCTGTTCCTTATGGGAGGTACCTAGTAGTAGGATTGCTGGATCAAATAGCAGATCTACTTTTAGTTATTAGAGTAATCTCCATACCTCTTTCTATAAAGGTTGTACTAATTTACACTCCCACCAACAATGTATAAGTGATTCCTTTTCTCCACATCCATGCCAGCATCTACTGTTTTTTGCTTTTTCAATAATGGCCATTCTGACTGGTATAAACTGCGATCTTATTGTGGTTTTAATTTGTACTTCCCTGATGATGAGTGATGTAGAGCATTTTTTCATATAAATTTTGGTCATTTGTTTAACTGGCGAAATTTTTTTATTTATTGTAAAGAGGAGGTCTTGTTAAGTTGCC